ACATCAACCATTTCATTTTTAGATCATTTTATTGGAAATTTTCATTTCAATGGTATATAATTCATGCTTAGAATTTTGGTTCATTTATGTCAGAATTTGGGCTCCCCAAAAAAATTTCAAATGGCTCATAGTCATACATGATTGCCTCTTCCCGATTAACCCCCTTAGGCCAAGATCAGTGCATTGTAATGATATATTGCACTTGGACAATATTGGTCTTTATTGCCCTTTGGTGCCATTGGCAACTTATTAGCAATATAGGAGTGATCCCTATATAATATAATAATAATAATATAATAACCATGTATTGCTTCTTTATAGCAGCTTATACATTATTGCATGGTATGAAATCAGGGAACTTGATATATGTTATCAGGCACCAGGTGTATACTTATAATTAAGGTTTACTTCCCCTATGGTGTAAGATGCATGCACTTGTAGCCATCAAGATATTAAGATATAGTGGATAAACAAACCATTCAGCTGTTACCCTAAGTGCTGGTAGACCATTTTCTACAAAAAAATGAATTTCATAATGAATAATTGTTTCATGTGATGCTTTTTGGCGTTTTTGTTCTCATAGAAAACCTAGTTTTGCAATTTAGACTTTTGCTTTATGTTCTTGGAAGGACGCAGAAACCAAGCCTCTCCATTTATTTCCCGTCACCATCTTTGTTATATTTCTGCACAATATAAGTTCTGTTTTGAATATTTATTCATAATATAAAGTTCTGTATTCCATCTACTTGGGTTCTAAGTACACAGTGTTCAGGAATAGATAGTGTATCTAAGGGAGTGGGATAGATATACAAACTGTTAGAATATTGAATGCATACAATATATTCATGCCATGGTACCCTTGAATATCAAGTCATAAAGTCAGTGATCTCTGTTCCATAAAACCTTTTAGTGAATTTTCTCCTTTTACAGATACTTAACATTACAATCATTTCTGATATGATATTCATAGTTTACTAGTCAGTAAATTATTTGACAATGAGAGGTTTAATTCCTTTATTTTCCGAGAGCCATTCAAGTTCCTTAACCTTTACTATGCTTATGCATTGGGATTTATTGACCATAGTAACAAAGATCCCATGGGATAGAGGAAGGGACTTCAAAACCAAGATCATTGTTTGGAACATGATGTTAAAATATCAGCATAATTTTCGGACAAGATTTAGTCAAGTATTGGTGCCACATCATGATTGAAACTATGTAATAGTGCATATTATATAACATCTAAACAGGATGGCTAAAAAGGGAACTTGATTCAGTAAAGTGCAGAGATTTATTAATAACCCAGATGCGAGTAGAAATAATCTTGATTTACGTCATTAAAAATTAAAAATTCAGTCAAAGTAATATCATATTTGAAATCTACATGTAAAATTTCATCCAGAAATGTGGTTTTAAAAAGTGTTTATCAACTTTGAAAATTTTATTTTCTTTGAAAATGTGACTTCTAGCTCGGGGAGATTCGCCATAGACCCCATGCTATAAAATCACAAAAAATGAAATATCTTTTCTTTTAGTGGACAGATAATATTTTGCTTTACTGGACATATTTTCATTAGTATAAGTATCAGACACATAAGGGTTATATGAAAATTGAGCCACTTAAATTGATAATATTCAAGTTTAAGGGAACTTTCTTATATACCTGCCATGTTAATTGACCCGAATCAGCCACCTGGTGGTGAAACTGGTAACTACCTACTCGCATTTGGGTAATTGGTAGTTTAATAGTAAGATTTCTGTCTTGACTTGCAATTTCTGAATGACACCCGGAAGAGTAGTATAGCTGTTCCCACTGGGGAAGAATGTCCAAATGCTCAACATGAGGAAATAACTGAATCTGGTATGATTGTTGTTGCTTTAAGGCTACATGCTGATGTGTACAGTCTGTACTACATAGTAAAATCTATAAACACAGAATAACAAATGAACCCAATGGGAATATAAACATCTCTTGTCAACTACAGCCTCTTGTTGCGGATAGGTTCCGAATTGACCATTTTGTGGGTCGTAAATGTTTCAGATTGGCACATATAATTTCAAATATTATCCTTATATAATACCATCTTATTCTAGTACAGTAGATGTATTTGATGGGATTAGTGCCTTTGTAGGCTGTACTGTCTACATTTGCAAGTGACAGTTCCAGGTCAAGTAGGAGAAAGCCTCTGGTAGAAAGCTGCCAGTGAAAGTGTTTAGAAATCTGATGCAGCACCATCAACACAGATGTTGAAGTAGAGAGGCACACAAAATGAAGTAGCTATGTGTTTGACTGCTCATAAATAATGGTACCTTTTGCTAGAGCTCAACTAGCTTTATATATACCCCCCCCCATCTTAAAATTTTAAAATTGAGGATCAATCAGATTTTCATATGTTCACATATGTCTTTACTCTTGAAGGTATAAATGTGATGTAAAGAATCTGTTTAGTTTAGTGAGATTATTATGTCTCATGTGTAAAGCACTTGATCTCACCAATGGGTTGTCGACTTATCTGAATCAGAAATCATAATACTAATATATTACATTCTGATGGCATGCTCAGGAAATAAAGCCCTATGTAGTTGGCCAATCTGAGGTACCTCATAATGATAAACCATAATATCTAATTTCTTCTCAGCCCTGAGATGTGTCAGGTGAAACAGAACGATGCTATGAGTATCAGAATGGAGGTACCCTTTCACAGGGGCTTGGCTGTGCTTTAGCTAGGTGACTTGGATTCAAGAGAAGCATTTGAGAGGAGTGGATCCACAATTGAGATACACAATTCGATACTGGATTGCTGTAAAGTACTTTAATGTTGTTTTCATCTGGGGTTCACTTGCCATTAATCCATAGAAAATATAATGTTCAGTTTAGATTTGGCCTCAAGCTCTTAGTACCTGGAATGAATAAACAATGATTGAAAAAATGTCTATAAAAACTGGTCCCTAGATAACTTTCTGCAAATGTCATTATTTTTAGCGCACATGTTGAACTTTTTTATTACCCTTTGCATTCATTGACTTTGTTTTTTAAAAGAGAGCTTGGTTTTCAGTAGAGTTACTCAGTAGTTTATAATAACTAGTATATGAGCTTTTGCAATTATTTTTTATATTATAAAAGGTAAGCCAATTCAATATTCATGAAGTATTCCATATTCTTTTGTTACGACTGATTTGAATCAATAACTTTGTGGTGAATGTCCCTCTTTGAGGCATACATATCTTCCCCCACATGCTATGACAATATACTGCCAATAGAACATGTTTTCAATTGCGATATCTAGGACAAAAAATATGAGAATGGATTCAACAAGCCTTAGGTATATATCAACACATAAGTACACATAGGTATTGAACTGGAAATCATACAATATTCTTCAATAGTGTCATTCGGCTTCTTTATCAAATAACTTCCTTTTTAGTGATACGTCATCTATCAAGCCGCTGGGTTCCAGAGTTACAGATAATTGGAATTTGTTTCATTTCACTTTATGAAATAATTCCATCTTGTTCAGTAATTATGAGTATTGAAGCCTCTGGGCATCAGAGTGCATTGATACTACAAAGAAAATCATCTTCTTATTTGAAAGAGATAGAGGAAAGGAGGTCAGTGTAATGTGTAACGACAATCATTTACTCAAGGTAAAAGGTGCAAGAAAACAGAGAACAGCTGATGGTCATAATTAAATTTGTAACATATAACCTGATGATTTCATTATTTTAACAAGAAGCTGCTGCACAATATTGAGCCCCAGCCCATGGCCAGCTTTTGCCAGGGGAGGGGGGGGTGGTGTTACTTTTCAAAAAATGAAATTCCTAAATATTAATCCCCCTCTCACTGGCTCTTGGTCTGAGCCTTGAAGAAGCAGGATCACAGTGTTTGCATGGTACAGTGAACATGTCTAAGTGGAACACCTTCGATACATCTAAAATGTTTTCCACTTGGGAGGTGTTCTATTTACAGAGTTTTATTTAATAAGTAAATAGGTTGCAGGCCTTTGCAGAAAGGTGTTCTACTGGAGGTGTTCTACTGGAGGTGTTCTACTTTACAGGTTTTACTGTATCTTACTTTGATATTTTTGCTGTTTAGATTGATTGCTTTTAAATCATCATCGATGCTTCTTTCTCTCTCTAGAAACTTGCAATGAAGGAGCAAAAGGTGTACGATAACAACAATATTGGATTCGATGGCTCGTTGGAGGCAGCACAATATTACCAGGTACCTACCTCTGTCAGGAGCAGTGAATGTATACTACTAATCTCCCTAAATTTGTCTATTTCATAATGATTCCTGCCTAATTGCCAATTTGTACCACAAGTATGGTTAATAGTCAATTGGTATGAACAGTAAAGGTGAATCAAATGAAATAGATAAGATGATGACTTCTATAATAGCCCTGGTGACCCATCACAGCATGACCCTAACAAGAGTCCAAATTTCTTTCCTATGTCACATGTGACTTGTGTTTTGTTATGGGACATGGAAGTTTAATATAGATGGAGTAGACATGAATGACAATGGTAGGCTCCTATTGAGTTATAGGTGGATGTCTTTTGTCACAGTGCTAGCAAGTATAATCTCATCTGAGTTGCGATCATGTCTTTGCTACTTCATCGATTATAATCTTTAACTGGTCTAATCAGCCATCCCTCTATTTATTAATTTTATTTTTATTTTTTTCAGTCTGTATTACTCCTGGAATGTTATCCTTAGAAGTTTTGTTATTTGACCTGTGTTATTGCGCATCCTGATTGCAGGTCCCCTGTCTGAGGTCCTGTTCTACAAAGGGCAACCCTATCTTCTTTCGCTATGGAGACTACATTTTTTAATTCAAAGGCAATTTTGAATTCATGTTTATTTCCACAGTTTTATGTAGCTGTAGGCTTTGAATTAGTAAAACTCTCCTAGCGGCTGGTATCTTTCAACTCCCACCATGACTAATAACCAAACCATTTGCACCAAGTAAAATGGCGTGTTTTGTGATTTCTTTCCCCAGGCTTTAAATAAAAAGGAAAACAAGGGGTGTGACAGTCCTGACCCTGACTCTGACCAGTATATCCTTACACCTAGAACTGAGGAGAAATACCAGAAGATAAACCAAGAATTTGATCGAATGATGCAGAACAACAGACTTCCCATTGTAAGTAACAAGTCACTTCTTCCCTAAAAAGGCTTACCCCTGTGGCATATCATTTGTATTACCCTTTTGTGAAACTTGACCTCTTTTAATTCTGTCATTTTTCCTTTCTAACATTGTTTGTTTTCTAACATTGTTTGTTTTCTAACATTGTTTGTTTTCTAACATTGTTTGTTTTCTAACATTGTTTGTTTTCTAACATTGTTTCATTTCAAGCATGCTTTATGATTTGTTTTTATTTATTGTTTGATTTTTCATTGAATGTGATTTTTCATAGAATGTGATTTGAACCTGCATACATGATATGAAAAGAAGCCAAGTCATGAGACATGAAGAACACGATTATTCTTAACAATTGCCAGTTTCAATGAATGCTAAAGTATAATCAGTGCAATGTTCTATTAGATTTTTGTCACAAACATGAGACATTGAAGCATTTAGTGTCAATTGTCATTGTTCTAAGCAGCCCAATTAGAGGTGTGATTGCTAATGACATAATAGAGCGTCATGAATCGATGCTATTTATATAAGGTGTCTAGGTCCAGATTTGAGTTCTGAGTACACGTCCTTAGCGCATTAAGGTTATAATGCCTCTTGCTGAGATTTTACTTGTCAATGATGTTGCATTCCGTGAGAAGTTCACATGGACGATAATGCTGGTGTTCAGTGTTAGAGGACAATGTATTGCATGTCGAGTGAACCAATTATTGGAAAAAGAACAATCAGTTTACGACATATTGCTCCCAGCAAGAAGTACATCTAGATGTTGAATATGTTTTCTTTTGAGTGAGTCCTTCAGGTCTGAAGGCTAAACATTGATCTGTACTTTCTATGACGTAACTGATAACAAACAATATCACAATGGACCCCATATATTATTGCAAAAACTATTCTTTGATAATTTACTTCCAGATCTGAGAATGTGTACTTTGTTTCATAAGAAAATGTGACGTGTAACATAATATACTACATGTAGTTCAGAAATCCAATTATATGTAAGAAGAGATCTGTTTTAAATCCCTGGATTCTCGTATTCTGTCCCCTTACTTGACATGAATTATAACATGCTACTCGTCTATTGTATGAGATAATATTGATTTAAAATGATACCTCATGTAGTATTACGTGACTTAATTAGATATCACTTTGATTTTTTTATGATGCATACTTTTTCTTTTATAGATGTCACCTTATCAGAATTCAATGACGGTGCCAATCGCCAACTCAGGGTACCCGGTGCACCCTCAGGCTGGCCTCTCTCCCGGAGCTAGTGGGGGACCCCCAGGCCTCATGCAGCCTCCCCAGCCTCTGCCTCAAGGCAGTATTAGCCCTAGGCCCAATTCAGCAGGTAGGTTTCAACATATTCAATCATTCCATTTATTTTCATTTTATGCTATTTGTAGGAGGCATTTACCATCTGCTAATTTGACGCCAATTGCAGAATCGTAAGAGAGTGAAAGATCAAGCGTTAAAATATTGTAAAGATTGTAATACCATTTCACAGTACAGTAATGTACAAAGGACAAACGTGTTCAAAGCAAATTTCAAATATTTCGCTTCTTACATGTGCATTGATGCTGGGGTTGCTCAGTACCAAGAAATAAAGATTATCTGCCGATTAATTACCATTTGTATTTTTTCACAAAGGTGGTTTGCTGGATATGAGTACACCTAATGGTTACCCTCCAAGCCGCTCACCTAACCCTAATGGGGTCATCAACACATCCCCTGGGCGACCCATGGCAAAATCTCCACAACCCCCCAATCAGGCGGGTGTCTCAAGGCCAAATCTACGGGTTGTTATTCCTAACTCAAGGGGAGACTTGGAACAGGTGAGATGCTTGTATTGGACAAGCTCAAAAATTTTATTGCTGATATTTTAGATCTTATTTTTTATTTAATAATTTGATTTTATCACACATAAATTGCCTTGGATATCTTTTTGATTAAACGGAACAAGTTTAGATTAAACCTTGTGTAAATTTTTGTCAATTTGAGTGTCTGTGTGAAGATTTGTATTGAACATGTTAATTCATATTAAGCATATTATGTTAATTCCTTAAATCTGTATGTCATCTATATGGTGGGTTTCAATATACATATTCGTTGGTTTCTATTACATAGCAACAACAGCAACAACAGCAGCAGCAACAACAACAACAACAACAACAGCAACAACAGCAAATCCCACCGAGATCTTCAACAAACCACCAACTAGCAACCCCTGTAGTTTCCATAGCAACCCCAAATGCTCCTGGAGCAGCATTTCCGTCCGGTCTCCCTACAGCTTTTCCTGGTTCAAGTAAGTAGAATATCTATAGACATGGAGAAATGGCCCACCGGGGATTATGGTCCTTCATCTATATCTTCGCGATTGAGTATAGAATTAATCAATTACTGCGAGAGTTGGATGGAATCGATCGATTGAATTTTTGAAATTTCCAGGGATGTTTCTTGATATGAAAATCAAAAACTGATTAGTTTTGGGTGTGCTTGGTAATTTTTACGATGACCATCTCTCACTTTGAACCAGTGCTTGTCCACAGCATCTTAGGGCAAATTTGGAAACAAGTTCTTGTATTGTGGTTGTTATTAGTGTTATATATTTAAGCATATTTATTCCCTATACAAAGTACTTTAAAATACATATTAAATAAAAAGAATTTACACCGATGTAAATGTATTTTCTTTTGCCTTTGTAGATGATTTCTCATTAAACTCTGCGGACTTGAATAATATGCCTGGCTTCAACACACCTCAGTTAATAGCACCAGGAGGGGGAGGGGGCCAGTGGAACAACCATACGCCAGGCCCCTTATCAGCAGCAGTGCAAGCTGCAGGTCTTCATCAACCCCCAGTGTGAGTTATATTCTTTCTAAGGGGTCTTTTACAAAGGAATCTTAATGATGGAGTGTATCGTCTCTCTGTACGATACCTGAGATTGGACTGGGAAATATGTGAAAAGACAAGGGATTAAATCATGAATTTGTTAATTAAAAAAATTTGTGTAAGGGAAGAAATATTGTTTTTTACCCCACTCCTAGTGCAGATGTGTCGATGTTATGTGTCCCTGCATTCTGACCATTATCGTTCTCAAATAATTATGTTTCTGAAAAAGGTCTAAAACCTTTTCCGTAGATAATGCCAGCAATCTTTATATTATGTTACATTGTCAGAGACTTCAGTTTACTTATGATTATCTTGTTTTCAAATTGCAGCTATAACGGAAATTTTCTGCGTATAAACACAAAGTAGGTGGAATTACACACCCCCTTCTTAAGTTTTGTTGTAATACACTAAGTATGCTTTGGTTAATACCTCGGTCACATTTGCTCCGATTTTCACTACGGCGCCCGGCCGATTGAGTATTTTGTTCAAAATTGAATACAGTATTGAACAAAACACTCAATCGGCCGGGCGCCGGCCGATGGATCGGAGCATATGTGACCAAGGTATTAGTTATCCTTAGTTTCCTCCCACATTTCAGATATTGAATGAGCAACATTTACTGGATCCCATGATACTAAGGATGACCAGGTGTTGCTATTACTATTGTACACTTGAACTTGTTTGAGAAAAACACTTTGAGGACATTGTTATTTTCACGCATATTGAACATCTTATGGTACACTTGCGATTTACTCCAACTACATATACTGAGTAAATCATTTTACAATGGCTCTAAGTCATGCTACACTCTTTTCATAGAATATGTCATTGTACACTAACAGTATACTCATACTACACTCTATTCATGGAATATGTCATTGTACACTAGTAGTATACTCAGACTACACTCTATTCATGGAATATGTCATTGTACACTAGCAGTATACTCATACTACACTCTATTCATGGAATATGTCATTGTACACTAACAGTATACTCATACTACACTCTATTCATGGAATATGTCATTGTACACTAGCAGTATACTCATACTACACTCTATTCATTGAATATGTCATTGTACACTAGCAGTATACTCAAACTTCACTCTATTTATGGAATATGTCATTGTACACTAGCAGTATACTCATACTACACTCTATTCATGGAATATGTCATTGTACACTAGTAGTATACTCAGACTACACTCTATTCATGGAATATGTCATTGTACACTAGCAGTATACTCATACTACACTCTATTCATGGAATATGTCATTGTACACTAACAGTATACTCATACTACACTCTATTCATTGAATATGTCATTGTACACTAGCAGTACACTCATACTACACTCTTTTCATGGAATATTTCATTGTACACTAGCAGTATACTCATACTACACTCTATTCATGGAATATGTCATTGTACACTAGCAGTATACTCATACTACACTCTATTCATGGAATATGTCATTGTACACTAACAGTATACTCATGCTACACTTTATTCATGAAGTATGTCATTGTACACTAGCAGTATACTCATACTACACTCTATTCATGGAATATGTCATTGTACACTAGCAGTATACTCATACTACACTCTATTCATTGAATATGTCATTGTACACTAACAGTATACTCATACTACACTCTATTCATTGAATATGTCATTGTACACTAGCAGTATACTCAAACTTCACTCTATTCATGGAATATGTCATTGTACACTAGCAGTATACTCAGACTACACTTTATTCATGCAATATGTCATTGTACACTAGCAGTATACTCATACTACACTCTATTCACTACACATTTCATTGTACACTAGCAGTATACTCATACTACACTCTATTCACTACACATTTCATTGTACACTAGCAGTACATTCATACACTTGTTTTACACCTGATCTACATACAGAGTTCAGAGTTGTTATTGAACTCTCATAATTATATGTCTGCACTTTACACTTGTGGATCATCTGTTATCCTGGGCACATGCTTAATTTGTTATATAGGTGTGATATTATATAATCAATATTATATAATGTGATAGGATATGCTACATGCTTTTATATATAAATTAAAAGATGATCAACAGCTTTCATCAATTTATTAAGTGACACTACTCTGTTATTATTATTTAAGACATCCTCTTACTCAATTAATTAATCAGTACCATAAATGATTTTTTATTGTTCCAAACATATTTTACAACATATATCCAATAGTTCTATTTTATGTATATATTTATGGGAAATTTAAAAAAGGAAGAATTTGATATTTTGTACTTTTGGATCAAAGACATGTTGAGAAATATATTGTGGGCTTTTATTATACTCCAACTCCTTGAGTTTTTTCTTCCATCTAATTTTATGTTTTCAATTAGAATGTGTTTTGTATTGAGATAAAACCCACCAGTCCTATCCACTTAACAAATTCACATCCTAGTTAAATTTTTTCCCTGATTTGCACTCTCTTTTATCTCTACAATTTTAAGGCTCATTCTAAAATATATGTATGCTATGGCAGATAGTAGCATATGCTTGAAATATATAAAAAAAATATGCTTGAAATATTTATCTCTGCTTTTTCAGGAATATGCTTTATAAGTTAGTTTAATTGGTAATTTTTATCATATTGTTTGTATTGTATCGTATGTGTAACTCTTAAAGGGTCAACTCTGAAGAAAGGAAAATGGGGCATTATTTTTGAATTTTTTCTTAATTATTGTCATCACATTTTTTATTATTTGATATAAATTAACAAATCAAGGTGCGTGTTGCTTAAATGATAACAGATACCCAACCATCCAAACACATTTAGTTGCCACTTCTTAAATAGACCTATAAATCCATTGATCTCGATGTAATACCTTTTACATGTATGGATTATATCTGGGATTAACATGTCTTTAATATATTTATCCCGGATTAAATAACAAACTGTTTTATGATGATTGTTCAACATGATTGTGAATGACTTTGTTTCAATGCTAGATTGACTTTCCGACATATAATTCTGTTTTTCTGTGATTTCAGATCTGTTTCAAGTCCTACACATTCTGATGGGCTGTCCCCGAGACATCATCACATGATGAATATCAAGATGGAGCCTATATCCCCACCTCGTACGACCACTCCCTCTAGTCAGAATCCCCACCTACTCTCGACCCCCCATCATCAAATGGGTGGGACAGGCCACATCTCTCCTTCAGCATATTCACATCATAGCAGTAACTCGTCAAGTCCAACTAATGCAAATGATTTTGACGGACCGCAATCAAAGCGTCCAAGGATAACATCGGAGGGTTGGCCTACCTAGGGACAAGTGTATGGGTGACAATCACCCAGAGAAACTGTGTAATATAGGGACCTAGTTTTTGTATTTATACACCCACTGGAGTGTGTGTGAGAGTGAAGTGAAGTGAATGGTGTGTTGTAAATATTTCCTCAAATATCCCATTTCCACGGAGTTATTCTATTTAAAGATCCTAACTGATGCTGTTTGTGTCAGGTCTCGTTAGAGGTTGTCTTTTATTTATATATGACATCTATGTATCATTATACACATACATACACATAATTATGTATACTAGTGTTGACTTAATATGTGCAATTAGTATTTTGTTATAATCATTGACTGTTATGGCCTCTTTTGATTTGATTTTCTAATTTATGAATGAAACTATTGATCCAATTGATAAGTTAATGCTTTGAATTGTGATTACCAGAAGTTATGTGTAGACACATATTACATTTGATATATAATAGTTGAATTCTAGAGAATCAACAAAATTCATTGTACTTAAATATATGCAGCGCCATGAATACAAAATGTTTAATTTGTTGTTCAATTCTTAGAATAGAACTGCGTTGAGGTATTCAAGAAAATAGAATGTGATAATTATAATTATCTCATATGATAGGAGTTAGAAACAAATCAATCCTTTGGTGATGTAACATTTGTAAATGTCACAGGGTGTTCCCCTCAACTATTGACTGACTACTTATGTACTTAAGGGCCCCAACAAGTTAAATATTTGTTTGGTGGTATTCGGTTGTCATCCTAAACCCTCCATGGTTTAATGTTTGTATTGCCTCTGAGGATTTCCTTCCATTTGGAAATTATATTAGTACCTAAAAGGTAAGAAAAGAAAGGAAAAGTCATACGAACTGGCGTTTGTCAAAAACCCATTGAACAGAAAATTAATTTGTTGGGGCCATAATCATAAATGTTATTGTGTTGAACATTTCAATTCTGTTCATTTTCAAATTGAGGTACATTTATTATTAATGTCACTATGTTCTATTCAAAGTAAAGCTTAAAACATTAGAAAAAGTACTTGTTTCAATCTTATGATATTTTTTGAAGACACTGAATTACTAATCCTGAAACACACTTTGTTTATGTGTTTAATAATTGCAAAATTGTCAAGACATTGAATTTTTTTTATGGTATTTTTCAGAAATGGCCAGAGTTCTAGTAAATAAGGGATATCTTCGCTATCATTTTTTTTATAAATCATCAGATTGGGAAAATCATGTGCATGGTTCCATGCTTCATTAAATGGCTACATACACTCTACTTCATTGTCGGAATCATCTGATTTAAGTTTCTTAAAAGATGGGAATAAGAAACCACGAAAGTATGAGTATATTTCTATCTCAATATATCTAAATGTAAATTTTTAGTTGTCTGTAAATTGGACAACTATACATCCATATAATCTACTCAAGAGTGATCTCGCACCGTTAGCATAAACTGTACTTATGTATATAGATACAACATTTATTGTTACATGTAATAAATGTCATTGTGACATGTGTATAGATAATTCGCAGGCCATCTATATTGGGGAATTTGAACTAAGCACTGTATTGCTCAAGGTACTTAACTTTTGTATGATATAAAACTCTATGGAGTCATTATGGCATAATTTTGTACACAAAGGCTTATAAACCAGAGATATTTAATGCTAATAATATGATGAAAATTGTAGGCATACAATTTTGTCACTAACATATCGTATAAATGTAAAAATGTAAAATAAAACATAGTGCTATATATAGTGAGACTAGTAGATCAACACAGTGACAGAGCTAACTAATCAATCAACTGACTGAACTTGATAGGCAGTATAAGCACAGATAAAATTCTTTTTATATTGAGTGACTCTTGAATTCATCAGAGGGTAATTATAAACATGACATAGCTGTTTTAATTGTACATAAAAATATAAATAAACAAGTCTAGTCTAAATCCCGGTTTTTGAGCTGAGTAGGATTTCGTTCTTGTCTACCTCATTTCTCATACTTGAATTCTAATGTATCTCAACTAAACAAGAGTCACTCAATATATCAAGTATTGCTATATAGAAGATATATAGTAGTCACTCGAATTATGGTGCACTTAATAAAATGATATTCATCAAGTGAATATTGATTATGAAAAATAAGAGATATGTTTATGATAAATGTTACATTTAAAGAGAATTGCTATTTTGAGCAATGTTTATGTGGAAATAGATATCACCAGAACTTCGTTTTTTCTCTCCATCCGTTTCCCCAAGTTAACCCCCTCCCCCTCTGCTGTATAGATTGCTCATCCCATATGTTGGTTAAATACCACAAATATATCTTCAGGTCAAGAATTATATATAAAAATATCTATTTTGTTATTCCAAATAGCAACTTGAAAGCTGATATACACTAATTGTTTAGGTATAAATCATGTTTAGGCATCAAAATTGTTCATTTGAGAAAGAATGTGTTAAACACACAATATTTAGTCTAGTATAAAATAGAAGTTTTTTATTTATTTTTAATTATTTTTGTTTGTTTTGAGTTTTGACTGTAGAAGAAATGAATTTTCAATGTGCTTCTTGGAATAGCTATACTAATAGAGAGATGTGATGTGTATATTAGAGAAATGTAATATTTATGTTAGGGAAATGTACCCGCTTTATATACCCCTGCTGTGAATATATTGAAACAACTAAGTTATTACTGGGTGCATTGTGTGATAGAACTGATTGCTTTACTACTCTTACTCCATATTAGCTGATTTTGGGTTCCTTTTCAAAATGCCAGGGATTGGTCCCTGTAGATAACCGAAGTATTGCTTAGATTAAGCAATTTTGTGAATTGAGACATATTTACTCAAAGTTTCTTCAGAAATAGTACTCAAATAATGGTGTATTGCATTAATAAATCTTCCAAACAATTGAAATGGTCAGAGATATAGACCCCATTCGCATTAGCACCGAACATGCTATGTGAAATCCCATCTAGTATGATACTAGTGAGTAGTTTAGCAATACAGTTCTGTGACATCACAATACTAATTTATTCAACTATTTAATTCCCTGAAAATAAACATAAAGGTAATGTTTGTATTTGTGAACAAGAATGTTATTTTTAGTGCAATGGATTGTTTATGATATAAGACTCCATTGTTGTTTGAATTTAGTAAAGGTATATATTTGTATTAGTGAGATGCCTTGTCTTTGAAACTGTGGTCTTGTATAATAGAAGCTTCTTTGGAAAATGAGTTTGTTTACACTTGGTGGAATCAAGATATTTGAATATGCAGCGATTATGATGTAGAACATCAGATTGTGAGGTGTGACCATCTGCTAAGACTGAAACTTGTTTCACGACAAACTGTTTGTAATCCACAACTTTTGAATTCCATATCTTTGTCTTCTCAGAGCTCTCAGATATTTACAGCCAAAAACATTTATTGATTAACTGAATGTATACCAACAACAGCCCTATTTTTAAGCACTCTAGGAGATTGTAAACTTCTAGCAGAGAACTTAGGAGGACATTTAACCAAAATATTTGACGATAACTGAATTTAAATGTCTCGCTAGGTTTATTATTAAGGTGGTCCCATCATAGTATAAAATCATTCAAGAGGAATCATAAATCATGATATTGAGCACAATCCTCTTGCTAAAAAGATATTGGAATTCAGAATTTGATGATTATTTCAAGATTATCATCCTAAGGTAATTGACTCATTGCTCATAGTACGAAGCAAGCTTAAATTCTGAAATTGCGATCAAGTCTGAGCTTTCAATGAGCAATATTTTGTATTTTTAGTCCTTATTGTTAATGTCACCATTATTGATAATGTCACCATTATTGATAATGTCACTATTATTGATAATGTCACCATTATTGATAATGTCACCCTTATTGATAATGTCACCATTATTGAATATATAGTTTCTCTTAATCTGGGAGTTATACTAAAGCAAATGGGTGTTACGTTTGTTAATTTGACACTTCAAAAGTAGCACAATGTAAAAAGTGATCCTACTAGGTACATTGAATTTTAGTTAGGTGTTACAAGTCTAACATCAGAAATTGGGTGTGACGGATGTTCTACTGTATGGTTATTACTAAGTCAAATTGACTGCATATTAAAAAATACATGTAGATTAATTTAATGTATTTTTATGATGGTTTTGTCATCAAAGCATGGATATTATTTTGAATGAATTACAAAGATAACATGAAATACTTAAATATTTCACCCCATGCTGGATGACTATGGAATAGATTAGGACAAAGCAGAACTTGTAGAAATGATACACCAAAGTAACTTTTCTCAGCATTATAATAACCTTGCTTTGATTATCGGGTCCCACAGCATGGGGTGTTTACCAATTTGTGACTTACACAGGGGATGTAGTCGGGTCACAATCAGTTGAATGTTTGTGTATAAATTAGTGACATTAGATCAGTAAGGGATATTTTTACATGATGAAAACTAACACACGTGTTGGTGAAAAGCACACCTTCTATGTCTATATGTACAGTCATGGTTGCTTTCTGCTTTTATTGCAAATAAATCGACATCTATGGTTGAAAAATATAATAAGTATGGTGTTTGTTTGATTTATTTTTTGGAATGTTAAATTAAAAAGATAAACACATTTTTGTAAAAATATAAATTATATTCTACAAAGTACAACACTACAATAGTTTTGCTAGATTCACTGAACACACAAGTCATGTACAAAAGACACAATTCCACAAATCATAATCAACCTTTTCAATAAACCCATTATTATCATTTGCTACACAAAAGAAACCATGTCATATAGGTTCTCCAAGTACATGTAGGATTCATGTCTTGCTAATATTAAACTACCTTTGGTATTTAAATATGGCTACTACATATCCTTAGTTTCTTTGGGGCAGCAAAAGATGGCAGGATTTATTGAAAATGTCCATTGCTCTATAAACACAAGAGTAGATCCAGAATGAGTAGTTTCAAATCTCATGCTCTGGTCCCTCTATATGGAGAACCAACACTTATAAAATGTGTCTATGCCGAGACATAGTGTAGATATGTTTGTTGACCTCACAGGTTTCCATGGAGATGTAAAACATCTGCCAGAGGTGAGTTTATATTCCAAACTCATCCTGGAAGATAGGAGGGTTAATGAGATTTCACACAGATTAAATATATCTCCACAAAATGAATCGCATAATATTTAGATATGTCAATCACATTTTTCAATCACAACATAATATATTGATATTAATGTCTTTGACATACAGTACTATATAATATTTAACTGTTACAAAATACATTTAGAATGTTGAGTATGAGGTATTGAACACAGACAGCACTTACAATTCACATATCATAAACATACTTACACAGATACTGTCTCATATACTACATAAACAAACTATTGTCCTTGTGTCTCTAGCTTAGATTTATCAAACTGAAATTTTGAGATATTGTAACGTATGTAAGATAAATCTTAGCTGTACAGCTTAGTGCTTTTTAATCGCATTAGCAGAGATTTCCATATATATTCAAATAAGTGAATACATGTATATGTACCATTCAAAAACAGAACAAACCTAAGTTACTTGAAATTTCTCCATATTGACTGTTACTTCACTGTGACTGGGGTCACTGTATAATCCCTAACCCTGCACTTGGAGATTGTGAAAATGTTGAGGTATTGAGTTCAATTTTGTGGCTATTAAATTTAGCGGATTTCACAAGTTTACGTCTCCATATATGCAAGACCAGGTATGGTATGTGGCAAATCATTTGAGACGGTATCTTTAACCATTACTATATTCTGATCATAAACATTACATTTTCATTAAAAATATACATTTTGTTCATATTTTAGTTATCCCCATTTAAAAAATATCACTCTTCTAACTCTCAAAAAAACAGGACTCCATTTTGGCACAATTTTCAAAATGTCGGACTTATTTTCTAAAAAGAGGACATTCTTTTCCTCAATTTTACCACATGAAAGAGAGAGAAGAGTCGAAATACCATTAATGTGAAAACAACATATTCCATGCTATTTTCTCATCAGGAAAACACATGTCTCAAATCATCTGTCATATCATACCTGGTCCTTTCCATTCATATAGTGATTGACTGATCCACTGTCACCTTTGACAGTTATGTGTACTGTTAGCTGTCTCCTTGGGTCCATTGCTTATGTAGGTTATGTAAATGATCAGCTGCAGATTGACTAATGTTCAATGCAGCATGCATGGCTTGTATGCTTTCCTCTTCCATTAATGACAACCCACATACACCAAAATATGCATGAAGAGCATCTGAAAAGCATGCATATTTTCTAAGATTTGTGAATAAGATTTCAGACCTTATAGAATATAATGGTCAAATTCTAAGATGTGTTATTTCCTATTATATTATAATTATCAGGGGCGTAGCCAACTTTCAGTGAGGGGTGTGCGATCGCCAAAAAAATCCAATTTTCAGTCTGTCAGTCAGGGAGGTGCAATCATGGCATAAGAAACCCCAAAAATTGAAGATTTGTTTTGAATTTTACAAAAATTGATGCAACTTCCTTCAAAATTGAGCTAGAAGCTTCGAATAAAAAGCAATTTAAAGCTCTTTTCTTTTATCTCATAGATCTATTTTTATTGGTTATGGGGGGGGGGTCTCTGCCTATCTTTATATTATACAGTGTATAGTTGTATTACAGATATGAAATGCAAAGAACCAAATCAAAAGGATGCAGTGTGAGAGAGATAAGACAACCATGGAGGAACTAAAAATAGTCATACCAGGGAACATATCTGAATATTTTCAATCAGCCCTACAAAAATGTGCCTTTGCAATTTCAAATCAATCCATTAAATGGGATGCCAAAATGTGTAGTTTTAACATCCAAAATATTTGGATGGAATATCCAAAACGGCGAAATGAAAATGCATAAAGAAGTGGAACACCAGACACCCATCATGCCTATTATTACCAGTATTATCCATATTACCCATTATTACCAGTACTACCCATTATCACCAGAATTACCTGGAATTACCAGTATTACCCCTATAACCTATTATTACAAGTATTACCCCTATTACCTGGACTATTATCTGGCCACTTGGCAAATCCTCCTGTTACTGTGCCTTGTGTTCCCAATACAAATGTTCTGTTCAATTTACAGTCCACCCACGAATAACATCCAAGCAGCTGGAAACATATACATTTCTGTATAGTAAACAAGGCATTAACATTGCAAAATGTCACCGCCTGCCATATGTTACAAATAATAAAAACTGATCACCAGACATCGACTGCCAAACACTATCCATAAAAATGTTGGAGACTAACAATATGTCACCAATTGTGGTGATGACATAAAAACTGTACAAACATATGAATAAATGACACTTTATTCTGGAAGTCCCTAAAACCTTATAAGAACTTTCCCTTGAAAAGTTTGTTATGTTAGTATGTTTCTACAAAAATAATATGAAGAAAATCATAACTAGTGTACCTTTAAAGTAGCTCCAACCCAAAAAGAGTAACAGGTATCTACAGGTTTATTTGGCCTCCCCTGGAAGCCTGATTGTTGTCTCAAAATGCACCATCTTTTAAGATTTTCTACTTCTCTAGGTGATAACACATCCAGCTTATCCATCAATACCAATGATGCCACAGCACAGAATGTAGACCCACCTAGAAATATGACAGAATTACAGGGTGGTATCCATCAATACCAATGATGCCACAGCACAGAATGTAGACCCACCTAGAAATATGACAGAATTACAGGGTGGTATCCATCAATACCAATGATGCCACAGCACAGAATGTAGACCCACCTAGAAATAGGGGTCAAACGGTTAACCGCGGTACGCGGTTACCGCGGTTAATGATGCTAGGACGGTATTTTCGGTTCATAAACATGAGATTCGGTTCATCCACGGTTCGAGGAAAAATTGAAAAATGAAATTTTTTAGACTTCAATATTCTCTCTTTCGTTCGACATGAACTTATTCTTCATGTATTTATTCCTCAAAAACATGTTTATAGCAATAGAGAACATTCAATTTTTACCTTAGATATGAAACAGATCGCTCACAAATCGATAGACAAGTAATTGTTTACATTTTTGTGACATATAAATAGACCGGAAGTTGGTCTCGCCAGATTACGCTATTCATAGTACAATTAATTTTGCTTCGTGGAGGTGTTTTGTCTGTTATAATGAGTTAGTTTTTAATCGATATTATTTAAAAATAACTGCAATTACAGAAATTATAACATTACTAATGTTTTTGTTAAAAACTTGAAACATATTTGTGTTTAAATCTCCCGCACAATCGCAGCGCCATCTGTGCTGATTCAGCTGCTTTGACAGACTACAAGAATCCCGGGGCTATGTTACTGCTTGTGGTACATGTAGATCTCAGCTCTTATCTGACAGAAATCTTATCAAGGACAGAAAAATCTAAAGTTTAAAATTTAAAGTGGGCCACTAGGCCTAGCAGGCCAATAAGCTTTGCTTTGTCAAGTCAATTTAATAAAAAAGGATAGTGGGACCAGAAAGTGACCAACTTGGGCAAGGCTAGAAAGAAAGCTAAAACCTGTTTTTTATGAGCTGTCTTTACAATTTTATAAGGAAATATCACCAATTTACGAGACCCGCGAGAACCGTGAAAGAACCGAACCGTGAACCTAAAAACCGTGACCGAACCGAACCGTTGGAATTTTGAACCGTTTGACCCCTACCTAGAAATATGACAGAATTACAGGGTGGTATCCATCAATACCAATGATGCCACAGCACAGAATGTAGACCCACCTAGAAATATGACAGAATTACAGGGTGGTATCCATCAATACCAATGATGCCACAGCACAGAATGTAGACCCACTTAGAAATATGACAGAATTACAGGGTGGTATCCATCAATACCAATGATGCCACAGCACAGAATGTAGACCCACCTAGAAATATGACAGAATTACAGGGTGGTATCCATCAATACCAATGATGCCACAGCACAGAATGTAGACCCACCTAGAAATATGACAGAATTACAGGGTGGTAGAAACAAGATGACACATAGCTGTAATACATGCACACAAATTGATTTGTCAATGTCAATGTATAAAAGTTGTAAGATTGTAATATTCGCTCGAAATATACAGTACAAAATATCATGAATAGAAATAAGCCGCATGGGTAAAATCATTTTCTAGTTTATTTTCTTGCTATGAATCACATTAATTTAAAATGACATATAGAATTACACCATTAAAATTTCACATACCGTGTGCTTCACCTCCTGGCCCTTGTCCAAATGCTCCTTCATATGACTGGAAACAAGAGAGAAATGAGACTGAAAACAGGAGGGAAGGTAATTCAAAAGGAAAGTTAAAGCAAGGTAGGTTTTATCCTAATATAAAGGCTATTGTTCAAAAGAAGGCAATCACAAGGAATGTTGACCCAGGAAGGTTGTTCCAAAGTTGGTTTCTGAAGGAAGATTGTCCAAAGGAAGGTTATTCCTGTGAAGGTTTTCTCATGTACTGTTATTCTAGGAAAATTTCCAAAGAAACAATATCCAAAGGAAGGAAAATTGTCCCAAATGAAGGTTATGTAAAAAAGGATTGTCCATAGGAAGCTTTCCCAAGTCCCAGGGAAGGTTTTCCCAAGGAAACAGATAAGTAGCCAGACTTCGATACTTGGCTTTAATATATGATGTATTTACTTTTCATATTTGTGTTCAATGTTGTGTTCAAAGTGGAAACTGAAATTTGTACTTACTAAACTTTTTCTGATGTAGTCTATAGCTTTTTCAAAGTTCACCCCACTGCAATCATTGAGCATATAACTGATGCAGCAGGCGCAGTAAACAAATCTCATATCATTTTCACTCCCTTCAGGTGTAGGCTGAAAACTATAATAAGTAAAAAAAATCACATGATAGTAACCCAAACAAGGCATTAACATGCAAAATGTCACCACCTACCATTTGTTACAGATGTCATAATTTGTTACAGACACTGAATGCTGAAGAATGTAAACAAAAAGGTTGGAATCTATAACAATATGTCACCACTTTTGGTGGTGACTGACATAAAAAAAACTTTGTCGCAAAACTTGAATTGATCTCCAAAAAAAATGCATGTGGCTATTTTGAAATGATCTTTCACAGGTATTATAAACTGCTTGACTCTAAAAAGGCAGTTTTGATGCCACATATTTCTACTAATGACAGATTTCATCTTGATTTGGACTTTAAAGATACAGAATTTGAATGACCAAAATAAACTGAAACCAATTACATTGGTGATTTTTATATTGGAAAATAAAATGGGGAACACTCATCTATTTTCTTTAAGAAATACACTGTTTCTATGGTTAAATGGTTACATGGAGGTATCTAACAGAATACCTTTGTAATTGTATGGATTCACAGTTTTGTCAAGTCAAGTTTTTGAGCAAGATAAACCAATATTATACCAATTCAACTACTCTATGCCATGCCTAATCCTTAAAGAATTTCCTCAAATGAGTCGTTACTCAAGAGAAATCTGCTAACCTGCCATCTTCAAGTTGTAGCTTCTTCAGTCCAGTTAATACTGCTTTTTTGTTGACCCTGGATAAATCATCGCCTAGTATAAGTAACGATGCTATGGCCGTGTAGGTCATTGCTATGTGCCCACTGTCATATGGAATGGAGGCTTGTGTTCTCTAAAACAAATGTGAAGTACTCCAATATTATCTCTCATTTTTCTCATGGGTTTAAGGAGCACAATAATCAATTTGTTAGGAAAAATTAAAATATGACACTAATGGTATTACAGTCGTTATTGTTACTATCAAAAATATGCAGGCCCGTAGCCAGGATTTGCCAAGGGGGGTTCATTTTTCGAAAATTTCCAGGGGGGGGTTCACATTTGACAATTTTGGCCTAAATATGGCTAAAATCACTTAAAAAGTGCTCAAAATGGTGAAAAACTGCATGATTTTGAAAGAATTTTTGGCCAGGGGGGGTTCGCCCGAACCCTGCGAACCCCCCTGGCTACGGGCCTGTATGTATATGGTTATTGTTATTGCTATGTTCTATTATATATCTCAATAAATACTGAAGAAAGGTGATTTGCCACAACTGTTATTTACTGTGGTACTATCCTTTTGATTTAAAAAATCTATCAAAAGTACCAGTGTAAAAAGTGTCAATTACAAGTCTCATTTAGTTTGTGAGATTTCCATAAAAATATCTCAAATCAGTCATAGAAGCAGAGTGGGATTTGATTCTCCATTCAATAATCATTCCACATCAAATCTATGGTCTTTGGTAGGTCATTCATTTCTACCCTTCATACAGTAATTGCTTGACTTCTTGAGGACTTCAATGTTAATTTGTAACTGGACTCTGACCATGGAATGGTCTTTTCCATTCTACACCTAGTGTCTTTGATTTACAATTTAACAATGTAAGCAGTATTATAACTCACAGCATTAGGAGAGTATGGATCCCCAATAGTAGATGATCCCCTGAACCCACATAGATCCAAGTTACTCTCTGAAACATAAAGACAACAAATATATATGTATGTAACTATTAATACATTATATTGTTAGTGGTGTTTGACAGGCACAACAAAGACACAATGATAGAGTACAATAGAATTTGCCAAATATGAGAAATATATTTGAAATGTTGAAAAACTGTGTATTGTACAAAAATAAATGTACATCATGAAATATGTAATATATTTTCACTCTTATAAGTATGAGATCTATAGGATATTTGGATAAGGGAATTATCACAAAATTACTTTTTGTATTTCTTTTTTTGTAATTTTAGAGATCTGGGTATGACAGTAGTAATCCCTTGACCCCCATGACCTCATCCCCAGGGAGGGGGGGGGGGAGGGGAGACTTGATGATTGGTGCGGCATGTTTTCAATTGCTTTCTAATGTTGATTTAAAGAGCGCAGGTCTAAGTTTGAGATGTGATGCTGAACTTTAAGTAGATTAATATATTTTCATATTTACATATGTGACTACGTCTGCATATCAATTTGATGTAAGCTCTTGTTCAAATAATATTTTTGTTAAGTAAATATTATGTAGTTATTAGCATTTTATCCTCAATCAAATAATAATGCACTGCAAAATCTTGGATTGATTTGAATGTTATCTTTAAATATTTTTTCACAACAAATATAAGATATTGAGGGAAAATCTATTTCAAAACCATGCAGTTTTCACTATCCTGGGCCCTTTTGAAGTGATTTCGCTGGCCAAAAGTGAACCACCGTAGGCAAAAGCTGGCCACAGGCCTGAGTAGCACATGTGTGATAGGCCAAGAATCACCTGACTAGTCAATCAGCTTGAGAAAATAGTTAATATCAATCTTACCATTTTCATCAGGCAATACTTGAAGGGAGTAGATCCAGTCTATGATATTCTCTTTGTCCTTCTCAATGGCATCAAGTCCATTTAGTAAGTCCAGACCCGACAGACCAAAAAATGCAACAGTCATCCTGTGAAATAAAGAAAAACATTATTAACGTACAGTCAGTGGGTATTTTTATGTTGATATCAGCTGATGATATGTCATTGTCAAGATCTCTAAAAAGCTGATCTAGCCTGGGCCACGAAACACCAGTTGATAATGATCCTAATTGCATCTGAACTGAATCACTGTGTATTAAAAGACAACAAAAAAGGCAACGATGAAAAACACACTTTTATTGTTGGATGAAAAAACAATGTAAATGATGCTAGAAAATAGCTGCAAAGAATTTTAAAATCAACAGTAACATGTTAAGTGTTATTAGGATAAAGATACCAATTCTTCAACTCGACAATGGGAAGAACTGCTCTACCTTAGTGACTAATATGTCATGATATGACATCTAAAGAGTCAATAAAAGATATACTATCAGTTATCACACGTTTCAGCATGTGATACAGGAAATATTCCATGAAAGGTAACACTGTATCACCCACGAAAGCGAAGCTTGAGTGGTGATACACTGTTATCTGAGTGGAATATTTCCTGTATCACATAAGCTGAAACGTGTGATGACGATTTTATCACATGCTTAGGAATCTTGAAGCATTTTCCTTTGGTCAATTATGATTGTGTTCAGTACTGTTACTCCCGGTAACTTTTAAAATTTTTGTGTGTTTTGAAATTTCGCTTTGAAATAATATGACGTCATACCGTTGAATCCTTACTTTTTCGTGAAATAATATGACGTCAAATGAAAGAGTGGAATGTAGTTGTATGACGCCATTTCGTTACCATAGACAACGTGTGCTCGTATCATATGAAAAGTATGTGATACGGGAAACACGTCATAGAAAGCAACCAATCAAGTCACTATTATTCTACATAGTATGTGATAAATATATATATTACATTATGTGTTTCAGTAGACGTTGATAGGGCAATAATTGACTGATGTCACAGATGATGCTATCATATTCCAAGAACTCATCATCAAGAGGGTTATATTATGATGTCATGATTTAGGTCTGTATAACTATATAACTTGAGCTCTGTTTGATATTATATTGAGGATGTTATTATTATTGGAACAGTATTTTTTCATTGTATAGATTTTTTCTAATAATGAGTAGATTTGAGATAACTCCATGTAAATTCAAAGAGTTAAATTCAGGTTGAATGAGGTAAAGCAGTGATTTATTACATGGGCAAGTGGCATTCATATATCTACATGCAGATCACCTTTAGGCAATACCACAGATGGAATCTAGATAGTAGAAGCAAGGCAATATTTTCATGTAAAATTTCATCACCTCCCATTTGTTACAAACATCAAACACAGAAAGCCAACCACCAAACACCATCCACAAAAAAAGTTGGAGACTATAACGACATGTCACCACTTTTGGGGAGGACATAAAAATTGCTTCTGTTCAGGATAGAGAATCATAGATGTATTGAGAAGGGGTCCTTCTTAGGACTCATGCGAACCACCCTTTTGTGAAAGATCAACAGACCCCAAAACGAGAGCAAACCCCATTCTAAGAAAGATGACTATCTTCACATGAACAATGAATCGCATATTTGTACTAGCTATTTGATTTGTTTGTTGAAACCATTTCCATCGTGCAAACCCCTCCCCCTTCGCTTGAGCCCCCCCCCTTTCATTAGTATGTATCCAACAGACTGAATATAATATTCGGTCTGTTATGATTGATACCCCTGGCATGGAAATCGCGGCGATATTTTGTGCACATAAATTTCTCGTTTATTACAAGAATGTTCACCTTGAAAATTGGTGAATATGTTGAAGAGATGTTCATCTTAAACTAGAAGCAACAATATTTGTATAAGGGGGGTACAAGTTGATATAAAATAATGAAATGTTCAGACTCACCAAAACTTCAGGATGTGTTTATAAGTAGATCGCGAAATCAATGTCAAGGACGTTTTGAGTTCACGAGATCCAAACGAGATATGCAAATTTTTGAACTTTGACAACACATGACCACTTGATTACCTCGGCCTTCTTCATGAATATTTCCGATCTATTTACTATAAATGACGAAAATTAATCGGGATAATGATAATAAATGACTAGATCTAATAAATTCCCGCACAAATGGAATTGATCAATACGCTTCCGTAATGTTGCTCCATCAGCTCCACGTGTTATTTGTTTACAAATAGACTGACGTCACTGGCTAAATCTCGTTTATCGTGAGAATTGGCATTGCCAAAATGGCTTGACCTAATCAATGGCTTCGCTACAAGAAGCGTCTGTACATTTATGAATATCTTCAGTAAGAGGATAATATACGAAAAAAGAATATTGTAAGTTCTTTATAAGGTAATCATTTTATCATTAAACAAACTTATTTGTAACATTTATACAACACCACATTTTACAATAGGTGACTTACAGTCTGAATTTATTCAGACGAAGGATACAGTCTACCCCTTTCATCAAAAATAAACCCCTAGCAGGGAGAAAATAGAACCCCCTTGGTAAATCCTGGCTATAATAGACTTAAGCTCTAGTCTATGGACTTCTTCTTCTTCATCCTAGACACTGTCATGTTTCTTTCTTGGTTTGACCATGTTGACAGGAAGAGAAAAAAATTAAAAATTCAAAAAAAATATCTTCAATGATCATTACCACTGACTACCAGTATTTACATAAAACCAATCAAATAACAGAAACATATACCTGCTTGTATCCAATGAAGCATATCTATCAGGTAAAACCTGTAAACATCGGCAGAAAAACTTGATATGCTTCTCTCGGAGAAATTTTTCGGAATTTTCGTCCGCCATGATGGTTTTATACACAGTCCAAAATATGTAGGTTGTAAACAAATAGGACTAAAATAATAAGGAAAGACAGTATACAATCATAATCCTTTGAAGTTTATTGAAACACTGAATGATCAAAACTTATAAATAAAATTTGTGCTAGATCATACATATTAGTCAGGAAATGTGACATAATTATTTATTGGAATGTGTATTTTCCTATTTCTCAATCCGAAAACAAAAAAATCAAACAATAAGTTGTGCAATAACATCAAGAATTTTGGTGTTGAACTCAAAAGGTAGGGAAATCAGATATATCCAAGTAGCTCTCATTATAATAGAGAACATTTTGAACACTCAAATGTATTGTTTAGATCGTTAAATACCATAGATTGAGACAACTATATTTTTTCTTTTTTGAAAACATTGAAAACCTAAAATTCATGATTCATAAAGGACATTCCAGTATATTTTCATCCATAACTTCTAGACAAATTTTGATGGAAATTTGATGTCTTTTCAGGCGTATATTCAAAGCATTTGACTTATATTTTGAAATGTGCTCAAGCTGAGCATAGCAGTGATGATTTTTGGCAGTAGTCTAACTGTAGGAAGATGCGTCGAACTTCAAGTATGGGGTTACTTTGTCATGTAGCTACTTCAACCATGAGGTTATTTTGACCATTGACGATAATTCATATTTCCGGGGTTGGCTGTTTTGGATTAGATGTCAGATGTTGAAGATTTTGATTTATTTTTGAAATTTTCAAAAAAACAAACATGGCGGACTGCTTGAATCATATATAAGCCAATGTCGAAATAGCCCCATGGCCGAAAAACCCCAATGGTGAGGTAACCCCATATGTCGAAGTTCGACGCCTATCCCCTTTAGGCTATCTATGTAAACCATAAAATTTTGTAATCTAGTGAAGCGTGAGAACAAAGTGGATGAATGTTAGGATCGATTGAAGTGACTGATTTCAGGTAACATCGTCATCTACATGTAGGTCACAAAAGTTTCAGCGATCTCAAATTGCAGACATGTTCACATTTTACTTTTTGAGTTGGTAATTCCAGCTAGTATTTCAAAATGTTGCCTTACATGCCCTACTTACAATAGTTTTGAAAAGGGGATATCCTCCCAAATCTAATAAGATGTATATTTGATCAAGTAGATTAAATTACCTTCAGGGGGAAGATCTCCCAAAGTTCAGCCTTAGAGCTGTCTGGGTTTCCCGATATTGGACCGAATTTAGTTCCAGATGCTTCGGATTGGGACACGGGAGAGAAAGGGTTAATATCGGGACAGTATCAGTATATAAATTTCTTACCTAAAAGGCATAAAAACATGCATAAATAGCGAGGAACTGATTTTGTTCTGAAAAATTAAATATTTTCCGACCGTGACAGCTCTATAAGAAAATAATCATTTCTGCTCAAAGAGTAACGTAACCATTAGTTTGCAAAAGAATACAGACTAAATTTTCATTAAAAAAACAATAGCGGCATTTAAACTACAATATAATTAGATTATTAGAGTATCGTAAAGAGTATTTCCAATTCCAACACTCAATCTTGATTAAAAAATTTGGAAATTGTTTGTCTTTTTAAATCAGAAGTTATAATCCTTGCTCCATATGTTGAATATAATTGCATATCTGAACTCTGAAGTGTCAGCATAGAACAACATTTTCGTTTACTGTGTTTTCAGATTAAATTGAACAGTGTTAAGCCAGAATGTCAGCATCGTGGGTGGGAAGTGTTGTATCTATTGACTGTGGGGATGTCTTGGGGACCTACCAAGGTTACGTGAAAGATGTAAATGGCGCTGAACAGACTCTCTCAATCTCCAGAGCATATCGCAATGGGTTGACCTGTAAGCTGCCTGTGATAACACTCAAGTAAGTAAAGGGAAATGGTTAAACAATACAGCTTTATGTCATATATCATTTTAAAGCTTGTCCAAAGTTACATTGATTTGCAAAGTATCATCGTTCAATTTACAAATGGGAAAAAGTTACAGGCATTTCAAAACTTAGTGTTTGGCCAAAATTAAAGTTAAAATCAGTATACTGGAAACACCGCTAACCTGAATGTGACCAAAAATATGGGTGATATCATTAAAGAGAGGATGGATATTGACTTGTAAAAAGAGGTGGGTAAGGGCAGATACTCCAAGGAAACTCTTCTAAAATGCCTTAAAAAGGTTTTATTAGGATTATTAAATGCCATACCCCTATTTGCAGTGTATGTAAGGTCATATCTGGAAAGAATTGCTACTGTTAACATGGCCAAGGGAGACGCGGCGACTATTAATTTTGTGTAAAACTAAACTTTAATTTTGGTAAAACAGTACATTTTGAAATGTATGTAACTTTTTCCCATTTGTGAGTTGAACCATGATACTTGGCAAATCAATGTAACTTTGGACAAGCTTTAAAATGATATATAACACATACTATGGGGATATTGTTGTATGTCTGCCTAGGGGGGGGGGGGGCCCATACTTTCGGAACACCCTGTATACATAATAAAATAGTTACACATACAAAGTAAACAAGACCAAAACCCTTGCCATGAGTATTTACCATCTTGTCAGTTCCCCCTCTACAAAGATATTGAATATATAATACTGTGTACATTGAAATGACCAACCCTGTCAGAGATGGTTGTTCTCATTTGTTTATTTTACTCCAGCGCATGTGACATCAAAGACTTAAAGATCTTGAAGTCGCCAGAAGAGGCTAAGAGAATGCCACAGATACCAGATACACCAGAGAAGAGTCACACAGAACTACTACAGAAGGAAAACAAGCGTAGGACACCTACATGCAACCGCAGGATCAACAATGCAACACCTCCTCAAGGACGTACCGCAACATCCCCAAGAGGAGGACGAATTGCGGCTAATGTTATGCATATGAATGGAGGGACTAATAGTCATACAGGAACTCCATCTAAACCCAAAGAGGAAGCAGGTTTTCGAAGAAGGACCAACTCAGGTGATAAATTGAATAAACGAAATGAAAGGGGAAATATGCAAGGTAAACGTAAAACATGTGTTGTGTTGTAATGTTTGTACTTTGTAGATTTTGTGTTGTTTATTGTTAGAGTTTGACTAATTATGTCTAAATATGTGGGATATATGGTGCTGATGTTGTGAGCTTTTGCAACTTTTAAGCCAATATACTTTTGCTTAAAATTTAATTCACAATTCTGCCATTTTCAAGTGTCCATTCATCCATGTTAATAGAACGCAGGGCCCTGAGTCTTTCTAGAGAAAAACCTGATAACTGGATCACTATACAGTTTTGGTATTCATTGGTTGTCCCATGGAAATTTTTTTTAGACATAATCTTGATATCAAAAAGCTGGGGCAAAATGATTTATGCATAGGATAACTTAATTTTCGAAATAAAATTACTTCAAAAATGTAAGCAATTTGAAGTTAGAAGTTATGTTGCTACATGTATGAACAAAAAATTGGTGTTTAGTTTTGTCAATTTTATCATAGACAGCTGACATTTCTTTGCCTTTCTGATATTGCATTGATATGTCATACAAAAAAGAATCAGAAAAACATGAGACGGGACTGGACCTAGTGGAGAAGATTTCCATATCTGGTTGATTTCACATGCCCCCCCCCCCCCCCTTAATATTCACTTCGCAACACATGTTTTAGTTTGCTTTGTATAATTTACACCATTCTTTTTCTGTTGCTTGTTTTATCTTGTGGTTAATATTTTATATATGTTTAGATGCTAGATACAAATACATTTCTGTAATATATGTCAAATGTTATTAGTTATAAAAAATACAATGACAAATGTACATATCTTATACATTGTTAAAATCACTCTATTAAAAGTGAATCTTATGGTTTGCCCAAAAATTGGAATTTAAGAAAATTCACATTTTGAGGTATTTGCTTTGATAAGTGTTTATTTTTTAATGTAAAATTAAAAGTATGACGTACAAATTCTTTTCATTTAGAATCCAGTACATCCCATGTGAATGGTCACAGAGAGACTGCACAACAGAGACGCACAGGCTCACAGCCGAGAAAAATACAAACCCTCAAACAGCCAGGAAAATCAGATTGCTTTAGTGCCCCTATGGACTCTTTCCTTGATGATTTTGACTTTGAGAAAAACTTGGCATTATTTGATAAGCAAGCAGTATTTGAAGAAATAGAGAATTCCTGTAGCGGGAATGAAATGAACGCACCTCCTGTGAAATATCGCTGCGATGAGAATGTGCTTAAGTCAGGCCCTACTGTGTTCAGACAGATCCAGCTACCGGAAGGGGATGCCCCAGAATATGTAACTGGTAAGATTTGAAGGTCAAATATCAATGGATCATGTTTTGTGTCACCATCACAAGTTGTGACATATATTGCCAGTTTCCAGTTGGTGATCGGCATTTGGCGGTCAGTTTCTTTAACAAATGGCAGGTGTGAAATTTTGCATGTTATTGCCTTGTTGTTAGTCATGGAATCCAAAATAGGTCTTTTTTCAACTTGCTTCAAATTGACCAAATTTTTTTAGTTCTCAGAAGTTCAAATCTAATTCTAGATTTGAGATTTGACCTTTGGTTGACCTTTTTCTGTAACAATTGTTACACTTTTGTAACCATTCGCAGGTGGTAACATTTTGTCATGTTTTGCCTCATTAGTGATACATTTCAAATTTTGATTTTAATGTTGACTACAGTGTTGTCAGTTTAGGAACTCATATAAGATAACAACAAGATTGAGTATATAAAATACAACATATTTACAATTTATTATTTACAATATATACAACATTATTAAACATACTTGAGCATAATACACATTCAGAAATAAATAGTGAATGTAAGGCTGTTTTAGTGCTAGCCTCTAATATTGTCCCTTCAAAGCAGTACATAGTTCTACATAGCACAGGCCCATGGTTGATGTATGGCCCAGCTGGAAAACTAGGTCGTATCAGATATCTGATGGTTCATAAGATGATTGTGTTTAAAATGCGGTAAAGCCAGAGTCATCCTTTGTTTTCTGGGAATCTTCGTCTTGGTTGTTCAACTTCTCTGATTTCTTTGTCAATACAGTAGAAACAGCATATCTGGCCTCTCTTGCCTGGAATCAAAATAGTTTGGTTTAATGTCGTTTTCTACATGGCAAAGTTTTTAATGTATGTTTGTCTTTTTGTTTATGTTTGTCATTTGCCATTCGTTGAGAGAGGATTCTAGTAAAGTTTCTGGAATATTCTAAGGTGCAACATACTTATTGACACTTACTCTCTTTTCCATTCTATGCAGAGCTCTTTGAAGAAGGGAACGCTTGTCTTTTTCCTGTTGAGATTGTGAAAACTTCGGATCATAAAGTGGAGACATCCTCAGGATCGTTTCCATTGTGCATTCAGCCTTTGTGTAGAAGCCATTTTTGCCAAATTTTGTTAAGTCCACTTCTGGCCATTCATATACATGAATGGCATTCAGGTCTATCACCATTGTGACCTCCTCCACTTTCTCCTCATCTTCAGCATCATTGAATGGAAGTATTCGATTGCTTCGCCTCCATGGCTGCGATTTCCAAATAGCAATCTTGCTCATGGCACTTCTAATCCTATGACTCCTATTTGGTTGTTTTTCCATCTTCAAATATTTGTGTACCTTATGTCTTTGCAGATCAATTTTCAAGAAAGAATGTCTTCCTCAGTTTTGTATTGCAATTGCTTTTGTTTGTGTTTACCATAGAAACGACATTTCTGTCACCAAGTGATTCTTATTGTGTTCTATGACATCACATGTCATGTTGCTATAAAACATCAAGCCTATAGCAACCATTACATTGCTTGCTGTGTGACATCACAATTGAATTTTTCAGAATCTTTAAATTGTAAATTCATTTAAAATATTTATGACATCACAGTAGAATAAGGTTATTTAGTTGTGATGTCATAATTCTGTGTCATGGGAACATTTATATCTTTAGGTTTGTTTTATTTTATGTATATCCCTTTTCATCGAGAATTTTCACAATTTATATTTTTGCAATATAAAAATTGGAATGTGTGGTTATTGTTATGTCAGTGTTACCACCAGAAGTGGTGTCTCTATTATCTCTAACTTTTTTGTGGATGGTTTTCAGTTGACAGAATTTTGTCAAACAAAGTTTGGTTTCGGTGTCTATAACAAATGGCAGATTTTGCATGAATGCCATGTTGTTCAGTTAATTTCTGGTATACACTTGCTGACATTTTTGGAAAAAAAGTTGTTTCTTTTGTGTTTCAGATAGTGGTTTAGTGGTGCCATGTATGAGCTATGAGCTGAGGAGTCGATTGTTTGCCACAGCAGAAAAACTGGGTTTCTCCTTGCAGAGACAGACAGAGATGGTGGGGAGGTCAGCCTGTGAGATGGTTATGACGCTACTGGGAGGGGGTAGCAGGTGAGTAAATTATAATGCAAAATGCAATACAGCACCTAGTGCAAGGAAAAACAGGAGTTAAATTCCAACTTTCTTATCCCTTTTTACTGGGAGACACATTTAACTACAAAAATTACCCTTTCATTGCTTTGAAGAACAGGAGAATGGCAAATATTTGTATTTGCATCCCTGTTTCATCTTGATCCATCAAGGTATTACATATGACTTAAGGAATACACTGGTTTAACAGTACATCCCTGTGTTGTAAACAGTGAATATTTTCACTTTACTTATATTTAAAAAATACAAATGTAGAGCAATTCCTATCATTCTCCTTGTCTAAAAATCTTGTCTTAAGAAACGTTATCCTTGTATATTTTAGACTGAACCCACAGAACTCCCATCAGAAGCCTAGTGTCGTTGTGTTATGTGGACCACATAGACAGGGTGCGCAGGCTGTGAACTGTGCCAGACAGCTTGCCAATCATAATGTACAAGTGACTCTGTTTGTGCCCAACTTTATTAAGATGATAAAGGAATTAACAGAGGAGATTCAGCTTTTTGAACTCACTGGAGGCAAAAGAGCTAGTAAAATTAATGGTATGTTTTGTTTATAGTGTTTCAAGTTGATTGAACTTTGAATTAATGTACATTGTACTTAATGTTCCAATCCCGGGGTACCAATGCAAAAAATTGTCTAATGTAAAATGTTTTATTGTAACATACTGTGTTTTTTGGAATGCAAAAGTTGAATGATGCATATATTAATTCATTTTCAATGTAAAGAATATCAACTTCCTCAACCGAAGTAATAAATTTAAGTAAATTAATAATCTGAATCCCTATTATTTTATTGGAGTTTGAATGTGAAATGAGTTTTGGTTTTTTGGAGGTCGAAAATGCCATTACCTTTAATCTTTTTGGAAAAAAGAATGTTGTTCAAAATAATTATCTCTAAATAAATTTAAAAACTAGATGAATGCAATCTCTTGCCAAGAGAAGTCAGTAAACTTCTTTTTTTTTCATGTTTCAGAACTTCCCAAAAAGCCAGTTGACATTATAATAAATGCTATGGATACTCATGACAACTCCAATATGAAAGTCCAGACCTGGTACACGAGCGTGGTGGAATGGACCAATCAGAGTAAGGCTCAAGTTATCGCTATAGACCCACCAGTAGAGGGCAGCACAATAGGCACAAAATGGTCGCTAAGTTTGGCGATGCCATTGAATCTGAGCGAGAAATGTGGTCAGATTTATTTATGTGACATTGGCCTTCCTAAGAAAGTGTTCAAGGAAGTAGGGGTCAAGTACCTATCTCCATTTGGACACAAGTTTCTCATTCCTTTACACAAACCACAATCGTGAATCTTTGATTGAATTCTATTCTACAGGTTGATTTTTTTCTGGAGAGACCCCTTAGACTAATGCTGTAGCCTAGAGGACAAATTCATGGAGACTCCTTAGACTAATGCTCTAGCCTAATGGCAAAATTTATGAATTCTTTGAAATTGTAATTTAAGATTCGAATATGTTTTATCATTGTATAGGTTCTATTATTTAAATGAAGGTCTTGTTTAATGGTGCTCAAGAAAATTATAACTAGAAATATGAACTGATCTTAAATGACTGCTGATATGCAAAGATATTGCTTTTTTAATCAAGTTCTTCCAATTTGTCATTACAAACTTACATAATATTGTTCTATGATACACGAACACTACATTGTTGTGCCACCATTTTTTGATTAGTTTGGCAGTGGCATCATATTAGTTTAGTGTCGTACAAATTGCTATACTCTTATAACTTACAATAACTTAGAAATTAATATACAGATTTGACTTTTTTCTGTGTAAACGTATGGACATGTCATGATTTTGAACAAGTAATTCCCAACATCTGTTACCATAGCAACGAATTATGTTAACTTGTAGAACAGGTTGGAATATAGTAATTACTAATAGACATTGGGAATGTGAGCAACTTCTTCACAGTTAAGTTAGAGTCTGTTACCTAACCCCCCTATCACACCAAACTAGTTCTTACCCGTTTTTGTCAGTCCTACGAAAATGTCGTAAAACGGGCTCGATCTGGCTGCGGTCGGGATATATGTCTAAAATAATTAGCTACTTCGTTCATAAACAGTCTTCAATACGTCCATCACATTCGCAGTTCGTTCAGGTCGCACCACGTCGGTGTGCAACGTAGTATAAACTGTACCTTAGTCTAGAAGGTCATCATGACCTGATTACAGAACGGTATGGTCGCCATCGAATTTTGAATCGATTCAAAATTCTAAATCACATACCCCGTCCGGGAAAGTCCATGAAGTTCGTAAACAGACCGTCGAACGTTGTAGCTACGTTCATTCAGTTCGCACACAGTTTAAAACCGATTCGGCAACGTTTTGATGATCACCAGAAAACGTTGAGCATGCTCTAAGTGCTGGAGGACCTACTCGTTCTAGTAGTTTCATGAAGTTTGTAAATAGATCCCAAACGGTTCAAAGTACGTCAAGTCTGTTCGTATACAGTTTAAGCCCGTTTTCGAGAACGTAGTGAGAACTAGTTTGGTGTGATAGTAGGGTTAGCATTATATTATAGAATTTGTTGTGATATGGCAATAATAACTTGAGAAGTCAGGTAAATTTGAAACATTTACTATACAATGTACTGTAATAGTGTGCAAGTGGTGACGTTTTGTCAGTGTCATACCGTTTTATAGGCTTTGATATCCAGGTTGTATTGTATTGAGTTTTTATTAAAATTGACGTGATGGCTGAAAATATGTATTGCAGCTAGGAAGGTTTTTGATACCTATGTATCATATTACTATTTTGGACATGTTGGGTGTCTGATCTGGTAACCACTGGGGGAATATTCAGATTCCTTGATCTCATTTGAATTACTGGACTTGACAAGAAGTAAATGTACATAATTTATCATCAGTCTTGGAATTAAAGAACTTTGTTATTTGATAATAATTTTCAGCCTTTGAATTAAAGGGCTGCCATGAAATCAGTCAGTGGACTTAGCTTCGATGTGGCCAATGTTGAGAGGGACCAATAGACTGAATGCTGGCCAGTAAAACAGTCAAAGTGATATCATATTTAAAATCTACATTCGAAATAACATTTAAGACATGGTTTTAAAGGTTGTTTATGAATTTTGAGATTATAATAGGAAAGTTTTAAACAAAAATATAAAGATAAAATATTTTCTGTGAGTTGGACAATGGACAGCATTAGATTGGGCACAAACAATTACTTAATGTTAAGACAAGAGATCATACTAAATGATTTTTAAAAATGTTTTTGGTCACATACAAAAAAAACAAATCACAAGATATGTCAGACCTTATACTTAGGTCGAAAATAGAAATTATTTTACAAAGCTGAAATATTTGGGTGATTGATATTTCGTAGTATCATTATTTCTTTTGGTCACTTTTCTCTTTTCTATCTTATATAAGGATCTCTATTGTAATGAATTTTCTGATATTTTAATATAATTGTTCATGATACTCAGAGAACTGAAAATCAAAATTTTAAATAAATTTTATATTTTGTCAAAATTCCATATTGTGTGTTCAAACTGTTTTTACATACAGGGTGACCCCCAAAAACCCAACCTTCAAACGTTTTCAATTATGATGGGATCTTTAATGATATATATATCCTATTTTCATTCATTTCTGAAGAGAACAATACCAGTGCTGATTTGCTAAATACGTCCAGCACAAACGAAAAGTGGTGACATATTGTGATGGCCATATTTTTTTTCTACAAATTCGTTATTGGATTTAAAAGCATTCATGTGTGCACTAACCCATCCTGATAATGTACCAGCCTATACATCCATGTGTATGGGTTAGTACATGAACTCATATTTTAAAGGATTGGTATCGATATGGTGAACTGAATTCAACAATGTTTTTCTCTTAAACCAATTATTGAAAGTATTCTGTAAAAAACACGGTCCTTTATGTAATTTTGATATCATTTTTATATATATATTTTATATAACTGTTTTTGCTAACATTTTTTGTTTTTTAGTGCAATTGTTTTTTGTTCCTTTTACCAATTCTTGAGAATGATATAAGATATCTTTCCGAAGCCTTTTTGAACAAAATTGCATATACAACATTTCCTTAGACCTTTCAATAATATAGTTATACAAAGGAAATTTTGGTTGATTTAACAAAAAGTATTCAAAAAGTTTTTAAAAAATAGATAAAAAATAAGATAAACCTTTTATTTCATTAACAAGATACTTTTTTAAATCAACCAAACGTGCAATTACAATATTGAGAGACCTAAACACGTTACCAAGAACAAAAGAAGTGTCTGATGTGTTTTCTAAAACAATATAGAGAAAAGTATGTATATTTACTTCAAATTGTATTGCTACCATTCAAAAGATGACCATTAAATTGACGATGTGTAAAATTTTCAGAATTTTTTGATGACCGGTTCAAGAGAAGCGTGTGTTCAAAAAGTTCACCATATCGATACCCATCCTTTCCAATAAAGCATGATGGTGTTTCACGTAACGCTCATATATACAGCCTATTGTAGCTATATTGGACATTCACACGACAGTATTGTGTATCATTGAATTAAAAACTTGTTGATAGTCAAAGAAGGAATAATTTCCTCGAAATGAAAGCTCCTGTGGCTTAATAACGAAGTACCCCTAATTACTAGAAATTGAAAATCCTATACATTCGGGAATTACGTGTTAATCCAGATTGATATTGGCGCAAATTTTACACAGAAAGATGTCTCAATGTAGCTCATGAGAAATGGCCTTCTATTAGTTCCTTTAGCCATATTGCTGATTGAAAAAGGAAGATGTGATCAGTATCAGAATGCTACTATCGGGGGTTTTCAAATTCATTGAGCTTAATAATTAAGAAAGCGCGATAGTCCATACTGTTAAACCAGTGTATTCCATCAGTCATGAAATACCTTGATGGATCAAGATGCAATACCATATGTATATCCCAAGTCTAAATGCCAACATCTCATTCAAGCATAATTGATTAGATCGTGTCTTATTTAGATTAACGATCGAGATTCCATGTTATCCCGCAGGCAATAAATAATTTTTAATTCAGGAACATATGTTGAATTCCTATCTATTTTTTCTATTCAACTATAAATTAGAGTTGCATCCTTCTTCCTTGACCGTATTTCAGATTTTTGTTTTCTAATATCAACTGCATGTTATCCAGAGTACTTTCCTTCTCAGAGGCTAGAAATAACTACGACGATACTCATGAAAAGGGTAATACTTGGAAGAGCCTGGTCATTTGGAATAAAGGGTAAACCAAGTATTTCAGCTATCTCCACGTTTTTTAGTTTGTTTGATTAATCTTTATCTCCAAATTAATAGAGCTAAAACATTATACATAAAATAAAATATAACTTTTAATTACAAAATAATATCATCATCGGGGTCCAGTTTCTCGAAAATAGTAAAACACGCACGGCCACCTGAAAATTAACTGTCAAAACACCATATAGTACAGTTCTTTCATTTTTCATTTCATTTTATTTGAGTTACAATAGCTACAGTTAATCCAAGCGTTTTCAGGATACAAACATTGAAGTAAATTATCCGTCGAGGATGTTCAAGTTCTCATTTGGACTGCATTACTTAGATTCGACTAGATTAGACTTCCTCGAATTACGTGATACGGAGCGATACCGTCCGTATGTAATGTAAGAGCTAGTTAGGTAGATTCACGGAGATTAAAGTACTATTGGTAAGTATGTTCCCGGGAGTACGTTACTTACTGACTTATCTAAATACAGACTCGCATAGACCAGAGTCGTCCATCTCAAGCTAGCTAGGTTGTTCATTAGTTTCAAATAGTATTCATGGATAATATCAAGGAATGTCAGAGTCCACAAAACACAATTATCCAGGGAGAATTATGGACGAGACCTAGCTAGATATCATCAGGAAAGACAATATATCGATGCCCTACCTAAAGGAGCTAAGTAGCAATATAGGACAAGTCGAAATATCCAATCTCCGTGATTCTTTCAGACTCGCCAGATCATTTGGATAGAGGCTGCAATGGATATCTAATATAGGATTTAGTTTGAGGTTAATGCGATGGTCAGAGGATTTTCAGAAGTAAAGGTGCTCAAGAACTTATGAGAAATAAGTCGAACCAGATGGGAAAGTGTGTGAAGGAAAAATATGATACGAGGATTTAACCGAAAAATAGTTTTGCATTTTACTATGTCTATGACATTTCTTTCACGACATGCAAAATATGTGAATATTTGCAACTCATATATTCTATCTTTGTGGCATATATTATTTCACACCGGTATATATCATTTCAGAACACCAGGTAAAATGCAGATGAATGAAACTTTATAGATTCAACAGAAATTCTTGACGAATCAGTTCAAAAATGGAGTTATGGAGTATGAAAACGATTCTCATATTTACAGGTAAGACGTCAATACGTGTACGTGTTCAGCTAACGATATTCACAAAAAAGTGTCACCACGTACGTGGTCCTTTACTACTGCTGATTTGTTGACGTAGTTACTAACTTGCACATTTCCACCTTCACTTAGTTGTAAATTGTTTACATATGTTTCAATCTGTAAATTGTTCACCTGGCTACATGCATGTAAACTGTTACATACCTTCTTACAAACTTGAAAATCGCAAATTGTTCACCTCATTACGTACCATGTACTTGCTAGTTGTTCGCCCCGTTACATTTACAACATTGACAATAACTCATTTCTATTCCTGGTCACTTTTAACATTTAAAATTGTGTGATTCATAGTCTCTCGCATTCTCTCGCATCTTTCTGTTTCACCTGAATCTCAGGGCTGAGAAGAAATGAGATGTCATGGTTTATCATGATGAATCTATCGTATTCAATGCTTTAGATGAAGCTTTAGATAATGAAGAGAGACTCTTATAAATCAGAATAATTCAACATGTTTAGGTTTAGGTCAATTGGAACCTTTAAATTGTATCATTCAAGATGATGCTCGAGGCGAGGCTAAATAAATGAAGCGTTTTATCCTTCTATTATGTACAATAAAAAACATCTTTTTGTTAAACGCACAACTCAATAAATCAATGTAGTTCCATTGAGGATGTTTCATAGAAGTAAGGAAGGAAAATGCATCGAGAGAACAATTTCATGTCAATGAATACTGTGAGCATTTATAATTAAGACACTTTTGCATGCCTACATCATTTCTCACTCAATGACAAAATGAGCGTAAATATGTATTTTATTTATTTACCTTAGCCTAAGTAGTAACCTTATATAGAATTGGCATTTCATTTAATTGCGCCTATTATCTGCAAGTAGTCAGTTTGAATCCCAAAGTTATTTCCATTCTTGTGGACTTAAGTCGGGAGATAATTATAATGGTACGTAATCATAACAAGAAACACTTTCTTTTAATAATAATGGCACGTAATCATAACAAGATATCCATTCTTTTAATATTAATGGTGCGTAATCATAACAAGAAACCCATTCTTTTTAATAATAATGGTACGTCATCATAACAAGAAACCCATTCTTTTAATAATAATGGTACGTAACAAGAAACCCATTCTTTTAATAATAATGGTACGTAATCATAACAAGAAACCCATTCTTTTGATAATAATGGTACGTCATCATAACAAGAAACCCATTATTTTAATAATAATGGTGCGTAATCATAACGAGAAACCCATTCTTTTAATAATAATGGTACGTAATCATAACGAGATACTCATTCTTTTAATAATAATGGTACGTAACCATAACAAGAAACCCATTCTTTTAATAATAATGGTACGTAATCATAACGAGAAACCCATTCTTTTAATAATAATGGTACGTAATCATAACAAGAAACACATTCTTTTGATAATAATGGTACGTCATCGTAACAAGAAACCCATTCTTTTAATAATAATGGTGCGTAATCATAACGAGAAACCCATTCTTTTAATAATAATGGAACGTAATCATAACGAGATACTCATTCTTTTAATAATAATGGTACGTAATCATAACAAGAAACCCATTCTTTTAATAATAATGGTACGTAATCATAACGAGAAATCCATTCTTTTAATAATAATGGTACGTAATCATAACTCATTCTTTTAATAATAATGGTACGTAATCGTAACAAGAAACTCATTATTTTGATAATAATGGTACGTAATCATAACGAGAAACCCATTCTTTTAATAATAATGGTACGTAATCAGAACGAGAACCCCATTCTTTTAATAATAATGGTACTACGTGATCATAACAAGAAACCCATTCTCTTGATAATAACGATACGTAATCATAACAAGAACCCATTCTTTTAATAATAATGGTACCTAATCATAACAAGAAACCCATTCTTTTTTATTACAATAATAGAAAGAGGCGTGAGTTTTCCAGGTATGGAAACATCCGACTGGTTCATGCTGATTTTTTTGAGTTTCATCAGTTGATTATATCATCACAAACACTGTAGGGGATCTACACAGAACAGACATTTCTGGATCATATATGATTCAGGGCTCCTAGACTTTCATCAACGCGAACATCAGTTCTGACGTCCCGAACTACGTTCCTTGCACTCGAACCACAATTCGCACATCACGAACGTGAAATCTTTGGCCGCGCATCACTATTTCCACGCTCCCGCTATTCACTCATGCACAGAGATCTGTGCGCGAGGGAAATGGACAAAAATGTTGAAAAAACGTAAGGCCCATCTATTCAAAATTTGAGTCTGATATTCCAAAAATGTTAATCATTCTCAAAACGAGATCTCGATTTTTGAAAATGATATCCAAAGGGGCTACACAGAAGCTGTCGTATTTTTGTGTATACTTCGGCAAGGTAGGGTGTAAACAGATATAAAATATACACCTGTACACTGGACAACTTTGAAATAAAGTGCCTATACTCGGCGTGATACTGTTATATGAGAACGGGAACTCACATTAGAAATATAATGCAGTTGTTTCAAGGGTGTCTGTTAAAAGAAATACTAATCCATGAAATGTAAATCCATATTGAACCCTTTCAGTTCTAATCGACTTCTGGCTACACTTGGGAATAAAAATAGAAAGTTGCAAAAATGTATGTTATTCTTGTATTCCCAAGGCTCGATCTATTTGCCAAGGCTCGATCTCTAATTGACTTAAAACCATGTGCATTGGAGACCTGGCGGCGAACAGGGTTTTTGAAAGTATTATTTCAATGTTGTCTTAAGAGGTGATTCCCCATACTCAATATACTTCTAAACTAGCAGCCAGTTTTATCAGATTTTCCCAACATTCCCAGGCCATCTAATGCGTTCGTTAATGTGCAATTACTGAAGGTGTTACTTGGCGATCATGTAGGCTTATCGTTGACATGATTGATTTGATATTTTGAAAGACCAAATTGTAATTGGGCGTTGTTCAAGCGCCTGGTGCAATAAGATATAAGACTGAAATCCCCTCTGTTATGTTGAGATGCGGTCCTGGAAGGATAGGGGATGGAGAGGGATGCAGGGGCAAAAATTGAATTGAAAAACAAGACCCAATTTTGAAATTTGAGGTAAGAATAAGTTCAAAATTTAAAAATAATGTCAGTTTGTATATTTCCTCTGTTTGTCTATGAGTACCATTTAGATTCATCTTTGGGGGGAGGGGTCATCTTGGTCCCCTACTCCGGCCCGCCTATGGATGCTAATGACAAATGAATGATAAGATGATTAGTCCTCTGCAGATAACGCCACGTGGCTAATTTTAAGTACCTCAACGGAATAAGAACAGTTTAATATCGTGTAGAGTTGGAATTACTTACCCTTTGCATTCGTTTGACTTCACTTCCTAAAAGAGAGCTACGTCTTCAGTCAGTAGTTTAACTAGACTCTGCACGCAGGGTAGGAATTACTATTGTATTGGCTAAGGATAGAAAACTGCATTGAGAATATATGACCATTGACCTATTCGACTTAAGATATAATCTCCTGTTTAGACAGATAAATAAATAAAAATGAATATTATGCTTTTTGAAGGCTTGTGCTGTAGATACTGCATATGGCTTATTGTGTGTATCATTACACACTTTTATCAAAACAGCAGAATACGCTAGATTCCCTCTGGGGAAAAGATAAATATTTAAAACGTCACACGGGTCATAGCCTATATATCTTTATGAATGACGAAATAAAGGAGTCGAGATATGAAACATTTTATCATTTATCCTAGCCTAATCCCTACAAGATGTGCTGTGAATACACGTTGTTTTCAATTATATCCACGTCTTAGGCAACATGCTGACTGATTACCATCTTTCCCAATTAAAGCCTAGCTTTTTGTTAAAAAATAGCAAGTACCACCCCAGTCGACGGATATAAGACAAGTGCAGTCATAGTTAGACTAAGGTTGGTCTATAAGTAAAATACAGTATGTGTATATATCTTTTATTGACTCAATAAGTATACGTTCAATACAAACCTGTTAAGGTTTGGGTAACAATTTAGGCTTGAGAATTTTCAGAACCACTTCGACTCCGCGATGTCATGATCAGGAGAGTGACATATGCTCTCGTATTGAGCCACTGAAATACACAAAGGCCATGGAAGTCAGTCTTAATAAGTTCGTCACTCCTGTTTTGTATGCTATCTCTACTTCAATGTCAAATCTAAAAGGCAATTTATGGAATAGTTCGCCAACGCCAAGAACGTTAATCTCGCACAATGAATAGTCGATTTACATAATTGATTTGCATTTTTATATCACTGAAAACAGATTTACTTACTACATAATCAATGTCAGTCTACTCTAGCCCATTATGTGGAACTGGCAAAGCTAATCGAAGTGTCAGATCTCAGGACAGCAGAATGCATAGGATCGGAATATAAAATAGATAGAGAGCCTCTTAAGTTGTGATGAGGTTAAGATGACCCTTGGGAATATGCGCTAAATTAAAATGGGTCTTTCCATGGGCAACAGTCAATTTTACCAAGGGTCAGAATTACCTAGATGCGAGTAGGTAGTAACCATTGTCCAGTAAAAAGAAAACATTATCCGTCCAATATATGAAAATATATTTCATTTTTTGTGATTTTATAACATGGGGTCTATGGGGAATCTCCAAGAAAATTAAACTTTCAAACTTGATAAATACTTTTTAAAATCACATTTCTAGATGTAATTTTACATAGAGATTTCAAATAAATCACTTTGACTGAATTTTGAATTCCTATATGAATTTCTGACGTATATCAAAATCATTTCTACTCGGATCTTATTTATTGACCGAGTCACAGACACATAGGGCGAAGGTCGAAGGCATATTATAACGAGGGACAGGTGAACAATATCGTACCTAAAACAAACCAGTGTGGGCTTGTTGACCAAGAAAGCAAGATGGCCGGCAGTTTCTTACCATGGAACATGTGTAAAAATTTGAAGGAATTCCTT